TTTGAAATGAGGAAGAAAGTGGTGGTCTGATTCTCCAACGGCTACCGTGGGTTTTTGTATAGGGAGGGAAGTGGCCGTTGGGGCCAGACAGAAATCTATGCGTTTTTCAAATGTGGTGGGGTCGGTCGTGAAAATTCAAATGAGGCGCGTAGCCTGAGTCGCGCTTGGGTAAATTTGAAAATGATAGCTTCTTTTTTTTGGGTACAGAAAATGATAGCATTTAATATAACTTCCTTCCTTCATAAACTGCTAAGCATTGATGATTTAATTCTAAATCGAATTACATTTGATTTCTTTAAAAAAGTGAAAAAAATTTAGATTGAACTATAAAATCTTATTCACATTGAATCACAATGAGATTACCAAATTTTAAGAAAATGAGAAACACCAACTAATTCTATTTGTCTTCTTAACATTGGAACATGTCTCAATCAAATTTCCCATTTTTTATTAATAAAGAAAAATATAATCAAGCCAACGAGGTCTAGTTCAATAGAAAATGACATTAACTTGTAGACTAGTGGTCTCAGGTTCGAACTTCACGATGGTGTGTGTATGTGTGTGTGACAAACTTGTATATTTCATCTAAACATAATTGTTGTAACAAAGAATGGAAGAGTTAAACATTATTTTAATTTAAAAAATAGGTCAGAAATAAATTCTCCCCAACTTAGAGGCAAACAATCGGAGAAGAGAAAATGTATTAAAAGGAGAATGTTTCTATTACACACGTGGGCACGAGAATGATAATCCGCCATTGATTTGTTTAGATTACTAGTAAGTCTAATGTACGTTTCGTGTGCTCGGCCCAAAATAAAGCAATATTTACAACATTTCCAAAGTTTCAAATCAAAGCTGATTTATGTTGAAGCAAAGATTCCAAAAGCTTTCCATCATGACAAAAGCTGCCAGGCTTATCTACTTGAACTCGGCTTCAACATCAAACTATGATTAAAGGGCGTGTGCTTGGTAAAGCTTACCAGGAGACAAGGGAGAATTGGTGGAGCGCCTCGTGAAGGAGATAGGGTAAAGTGGAGTACGACTGTCTCTTAACATCATTTACAAATCGAATGTTAGATGGCCATTTGGCTCCCATTATGATTACTCTTACTGCAACTAATGATCGATCCATGTCTTCTGCAAGAGGATAAATATTTTCGATATAACCATAACACCGCATGTTGCTACCTTAATAGTATAAACTCGTCACACTCAAACAAATTAATCGTGCGGAAGCTCAAACTGTGCATAGGATGACTGCTATGATGCAATAGCATATTAGAACAGGGGAAAGAGGGTGTTGGCAAGCCAAGCACATCAATTCTTTGAGGAATTCGACTTCCATAAAAGCTTAGAGAGAAACGCAGAAGATGTTTTCTGTATCTGCACACGTTACAGCTCGACTTGCAATTCTTCGAGTGAATTTAAATAACAAAACCTATCCTCATACAGATGCAATTTTGTCGAAATTAATCATAGGGGCACAGATCCATAAAAAACTACTTCAGCCGGGCCTGTCATGTATATATGGTTGTCTTCCTCTCTCCACTCAATCTGCAATGGCCCTCCTGGTAAATCAACCGTGCAATTCTGTGTCCAATAAGATAAGCATGAAAAAAGATGAGCAACGAGGAAAGAGAGTAAAAGAAACTACAGTAAACATGAGGTTAATCTGGAGCCAGCATTTAACAGCACAAATCCATCATCCAATAATGAAGCAACGGTCAAAAGTTGGAATCTAGTGACAGTAAAGTAAACCTATTTTTTCTGATAGGAGATAATAAAGTAAAACTGAACTTTTAAGATAACTAGAATCATCATTTTTGTATATATGACTTTACTCTTCTTAGACCAGTTATGTTAGAGCAAAATGGCACAATTTCATTTCCGCGAGAAATATTTAGACCAGTTATGTTAACTTTTTTACAATATTCAGCAAATAGAATGCCAATACTTACCCGCTCAGCTCGACCCTCAAGAACTGCTGCAACAACTACAGCACAAGCACCAGTTCCGCAAGCCAGTGTTGCTCCTACAATGAAAAGTAATTAATTTCCCACTAGAAAAGAGGGATTTGATATTAGATCACAATACAAATAAGTTTTTCCTTTGGTTGCAATAGAACTAACCTGCACCACGCTCCCAAACACGCATCTTGAGGTGTGAAGGAGTGAAAACTTGTACAAATTCTGCCAATCACAATCAAATGAGATTCATGAATACAGAAACATACTTAAGAATAATGACATATTAAGAATTAAAAGCTCACAAGACAAAACCGAAGGACCAAAGAAGTTCAATTGAAAATAAATATTTAACTCGCACTAAAATATATAGCATGATCTTTATATGATCTTGTAACTGTGTTTCAAGCTGCTAAGTAAGGCACACAACCATATGAGGATAGGGCAGGGCATAAATTCTTTTTACGCTTTAGGCCATATCAGAGCATACATGTGTTGACTAGCTGTTTGACAAGCATGACAACACCCAAAAAAAAAAAAACGATTTGTAGCATGATAGCATCCAACAATATACCAAGACTAAACTCTAATTGACTTCAATAACAAAAGCATGCCCACAGAAAAATATATTCTAACCTGTGTTAGTTCGTGCAGGAAACACCACATGGTTTTCAAATTTTGGACCAATTTCAGCCAACTTCAATTCATCAACCTGCAAATTCTGTTCCATTCCAACCAAAAGCAAGAAGTGACGGTCAGCAATGATTGATTTTGCTAGAAGTCCTACTTCAAAAGATCATGCAAGTAGAAAGAGGACAAGTTGGGGATATTCAAGAAAACTTTCAACCATTTGAAAATGATGTGATATACTAAAGGCCACAGGGCAACTATAAATGAATCATCAGATGAGTATCATTGCTTCTGCTAAATTATTTACGTCCAAACTAGGTCATTCATTTCAGAGAAAAGAGAAGTATCAGAAAGAAGACAATTAAATGAAAACTCCCAACAGACCTCTATTAGTAGTTACTATGTGACAAGTTAATCCAGAAAATAGTTACCTGGCCTCCTTTTGTACCAAAAGTTACACAATGAGGATTTCCCATACTAACACATGTTACGTTCCAGGTTACTCCATCTACATCAAGATCCGACTTAACGACAGATTGATTCTTGTTTGCAGGTAGTCCTGTAGGTACATCTGTTGCTTTTAGAATTGGTTCCCCCATATCAACTTTAACCTGCAATTCAGAAAGTCAATGTCTGCTAAATTGAAGATGACCATCTACATACATACTTAAAGCATGACTGAGGCATGCAGAGTAGCAGTGGGCCTTCTTATAATATTTTCAAAGCCACATGCTTTGCCATTATCAAATGTTTGATGTGTTTAAAGTATCTCAACCTGAAATGCTCTACTTAAACTAACACATAAAATAAACAAGAAGGTATTGATACATAGAGTAAACAAGAACGTACCTTCCCATCATCTTGAATTTCTGGAACAATTAGACCAGCACCGGTATGCACCGTAAAGCTGCAATGGTATACACATAAGGTCATTGTTAGAAAACAGACACACATATTAGTCTGAAACAGATTATATTTCCCTTCTCAAAATGCAAACAGACACTAAAGGAAACAATGCAGTACATTAGCAAGCATTGTTAGATAAAAACAAAACTATAGCATTAGCTCACATCCATACCGTTGCTTCCCGTGCAAATTCTCAAGCTCCGCAATGAATCTGGCAAAGCATCGGACTCCATTACCACACATCTACACGATAAAATTGAACATCAAACTTTCAGAAATTCGAAAAACATAACTCATATAATTAGTAAATGCAACATATCTGCATCATAAATAATCAAAGTATCAAGTAAAGTCAATATTTGGGAAAATGTGAGTCACCTCGGGCTCGCTCCCATCAGAATTGTAAATCCTCATGGTATAATCGGTGCCATTGATGCCCGGCAGCGCGAAGATCACTCCGTCAGCGCCAATCCCGAAGTTCCGATCACAGAGCTTCGCTGCTTGCTCTGGAGTGATCTTAGGCTCCGAAGAATCCCTATTATCAACCTATCACTCGCAAAATCAAATAATCAATAAAAAACCAAAACTCAAAATAGAGAATCGAGCACACCTAACCCTAACCTTTTCGTTCCTCATCAAATTTCAAAATTTGCAAAATTTTCACACATTTTCATTCAGAGATATAAAATTACCAAAATGAAGTCGTTGCCGAGGCCGTGGTACTTGACGAAGTGAAGGAACCCGGTCTCTCTCCGGTCCAGAAAAGAAGCCGGCGAGGCTTTCTCGACGGCTTCGACGCTCATCGAAGACGAGGCCGCCGAGACGCGAAGACAAGCAGTTCTCAAAGCGACACTTCCCCTGACAGAGTTGAGTTTCAGAATTGGAGAATAAGATCGAAGAGAGGTGAAGGAGGCGAGAGAGCGGCGAGCTGGGGACGTGAGAGGCAGTGTGATGGCGGCCGCTATGGCCATGACTTTGACGCTAACAGTAACAGAGTTTCCTTCGCAGCTGATTTGTTGTTTCACTTCTTATCTGTCCTAGCGCCAACATGGTAGTTATAAATAAGGTGGTAAAATGGACATTCTCTTTGAATTTAATTTAAGACAAGCTAATTAGGATTTGATATTTTCTTTAAACTCACCCACAATTTTTATATATATTTATTTATACAAATGATAGGATATTTAAAAATACTTTTACAACTTGTGAATATATGAAAATTCTTCTGGAGTTTCACTAAAACACCCAAAATGAGGTCTGAAATTATAAAAAAAACTCAAGCACTATTTAAACATATAAACACACCCAAAACCCATCATTACACACACTCAAAACCCATTTATAAACACACCCAAAAAGTTGACTTTGGGGTTGATTTTGGGTGTGTTTCTATGTTTAAATAGTGCTTGAGTTTTTTTATAAATACATGTCTAGGATTGAGTTTATTTATAAATTTGTAAAATTCTAATTGAAAATGTCAAAACTTCTTGACGTGTTGGTGAAACTAATCCTTTCATTTATGCACAACTTTACTTGACAATCCTCCATAACCTCGTATTAGAGAGTAATTGATTTGAGTGGAAAAATTATATATAAACTTGACTAAACAATACTGTACATGCGAAATGACATTTTAAACATTAGTACTCGGGAGCGTTACATAAAGAACCAAGCTCTAACTGCATGCATTACACTTTGTTATGATAAAAATTCAGGGCAAGTTAAAGTCAATGAGTTGACCCTAATTGCCTTTTCAAGCAAAAGATCCATTAGTTGCAATTCATGGTCTCTGCCAGTGAAGCCCAGCAACTCAATGCTTTTAAGGTGCTTGAGCTGTGAAGTGTTCGACTTGACACTTGTGAAGTCCATCCAAAGGTGAGGCTCATGCCAGTATTGGTAGAACAATGGGCAGGGGATGGTGCTGAGGTTGCTGTCAATCTGCCACCACAAGCTCAAGGCATTAGTTACCTCAACCAATATATATATATAAGCGATAATTTATTTTAAATAATATATAAGAAGGAGAATTCAAACTTGAGCGCAAGGGGCGAGCTCAACTCACGGAAACAATTTAATAAAAAAGATGAACTGTTATTAGAAGTCTAAAAACTTAATTACCTCAACCAACAATTTCTCCAGCAAAGGACATGCATTTAAGAAGCAAGCAAGGGAGTCTCTTTTGTCCTTGTTGATCAAAGAGTCGATCCAAGTTAATGCTTTTAACTTGTTGAATTGGATTGGAAATATATAAAGATTTACATGTGTTTTATAATTTCATATATACCTCGAGAAGCCAGCCACTTATAGTGAGAGCCTCAACATCCTTGAAAGAGAAAAGGATGGAGAGAATTTCCTCACAGTCAAACTCATTGTTGATTGGTCCATCCTTCAAATTGAGCACCACATCAACCAAGCTTCTTGTGTTTTTTAGGGTGATAATCTGGGGGAGAGCACCACGGAACCAAAATGATTTGAGATTTTGTGCAGAAATTGTAATGGCAGCCATGTTTAAACAGTCTGCGACCACCAAGCTCCTCAGGCTATCTGTTTTCACATCAAGGCTGTCCAGTCCCGTGCATTTCTCAAGCTTCAAGCTTTCAAGAACATGGCAATTGGAGAAAACTTCAGACACCAGGGTTTTAGTGAGGTTGGTGACTGATCTGAGGTGGAGAAGCTTCACCCCAGCAAAACTATCTGTTTGTGTAGGATGATGGCTGTGAAGGCACAAACAAGCACTTGTTGATGTTGGCTCTGATTTGAAATCTCTTGAAACTTTCTTTGTTTCAAAAAATTCTAGATGAAGCTCTCTGTCAACCCCCTTGGTGGCTTTGAGAATCAGTGCTTCATTGCTGTCAACAACATTGAGGCACAGCTTCCATTGCTCAAGACAAGCATAGGACCTCATGCACATTCCCATAACTTGGTTGAATTCTTGACCTGAGCCTTCATGGTTTACTGGGTTTGGATCAAAATTCAAGCTTACCTGAATTGGAGACCAGAGGCTCTTCCAATGAGTTGAAAGGACACTAGCGCTTACTGCCTCTTTCAATGGCAGGAAGGATATAATTCTCTGTTTTAATTCAAATGGTAAGCTGCTGATCAGATCAAGCTTTTCCTCCTCCATTAGTTTCTGATAATTTCCCTGCTAAAACCGAATTGTTAGACCCAAAATACAAATACAAATTCACAAACCAACTTCTAAATCCTCAAACAATTGTTGGGTTAAGCTCAGAAACAAGAAATCATCAGAAGAACATAAAACTAAGGCTTCAATTGCTTCGAAACGTACCGGAGCCAGTGTGGATGTGGAGCTGAGATTGTCAGTTTCCAGCGAGTGCAAGATTATCTGCAATGGAGTTGATTTTGCCCCGGTAATCTGAAATGGACAAGTCGCCTTTGGTGGTGCAAAGGAGTTCATTGCGCAGATGAAGGATGCGGTTGTGAGAGGTGGAGGCATAGCGACGTTCCAGAGATACCCAGGATTGACGAGATGTGGGAGACAACGCCACAGTAGACAACACAGACGGAGTGAGTGAGATGTTTATACAACTCAATATTGTCCGATTTTGCTGGACCCAAGAGAGATAAGAAGAATTGATGACAAGCCAACCACAGTGGACAGTTGGAGCGGGTCAATTTGATAGTAATGATGGTGAAAACAACAAGTGGAGGCTCACGAGGTTGGTTGTTGATGGTGGCAGAGGATTTTGGCCATTGGTAGGAAGGACATAGCTATAAGAGTTGGCTATGGGAAACCTGGGTAGAAAAACATCGATAGATTATGGGAGCTCTTGATACCATAAAATTATTTACCAGCATATCAACTATTCAAATTCAAATCCACAAATGACTTTAAGAACATCAATTTTCTCTTGACTTGGGACTTTGTCTAATGAAACAAGTGGTGCTTGAAGGCAACAAGTGGTGCTTGTACGTTTCAAGTTGACATCAATCATGATCCCCGATCTTTATATAAACATTTCTTTGGCCTTAATGCAGAAAGCTGATATCGAATCGAACAAATAATTTGTTACAGAGATTTTCTTTGCCCATGAAGTTGAATTTCATTATTTAAACAAAAGTAAACGATATGAACGAATCAAACATGTCTGCTAGATTATTATATGATGTTGATTAGATTGGACTTGTAATTAATAATTATCAAGATTTTTGTTGTTTATTTTTTGTCAATCTTTCACAAATGGATATTATTTTATTAAAAAATGTTCCAGCAGCTTCTAGGAAAATGGATGAGGAAATTATTGTCAAGGTTCAAAGTTCTGTAGTGGCCATTGGCCAATAAAAATATAATAAGCTTAAAATTAGTGTGTTCTTATCTTCTGTGACAAGGAAAAGATGGATGAGAGGATCAACAATAAGAACTTATTGGAATTGTTATTCCAATTTAAATGAAATAATTTCATGTCGGACGTTTGGTGTTCTTAATAAAAGAGGAACTATTAAATTGGACAATATTCTCATGGATTAGAGACTAATTTCACTCTCGACTCTATGGAACATGACTGAACTGAATGATCCGATTTTCGCGCTGTTGGAAGTTTGAATGAAATTCAAGACATTTTTTGTCTCACATCGGTAGAATGGAGAAAAGGGCCTAATGAAAGCAATTTGGGTATATATAATATTTAATTATCAAAAGATGGGTCTTGAACTTCACATTCAGATTTAAATTAATTTTTAAGTTTCGAATTAATAATTTTTTATAAATTCGGATTAATTTAAATAACAGTTTTTTAATAGTTCTAACTCTTTTGATAGGGTTTTAGAGGTTTATTAGAAGAGACCTCATGTCTTTTTTTTAGGGTGCATTTACTACCATATTTGCTTATCGATAGATATGACCAATTCAAACTTCTTGAAAACCTTAAAGTAATTCATGTATGTCTTTAACAATTGATTTTAATTAATATCCACGAAATCTGTGCCTTCTGTAATAAAATCTGAGTTAAGACTTTGGAGTCTCCTTCAACTTCTATCTTTGTTAAACGTACGGTCGTTGTGCCCAAATCAGAGCTTGCTTTAGAGCACTTCCATCCTTGGTCAACATGGGCAGAAGGGCCACTAGTACCCAAAAACTAACTCCAGCGGTGAAGGCCAGTCTATGTTGTTTGGGTTTGCTGACGTTAACATGACAACATCAACCAATTTAAATACCTAAATTTTTTATAAAAAAAAAATTAAAAAAATTCAGAATTTTTTTAATTATAAATACCTAGCCATAGCAAAACTCCATACAAATTTCTCTTCTTATAAGTTACATATTATATGAATAGTAGTTGCCTTTATTTGCCATAGCAATAGGTGAAAAAGCAAAATAAAAAAGGATATGACTGTTACTATTTACGTGAATAGCCTCTACTATTACCTACTTTTACATTTTGCCATGGCACCATGAGTTGAAGCGTAAAGCCAGGACTTGCGCGTGCGCTTGAAGAACTGACGTATGTGTGGAGGTATACTGTGTACATAGTTATAATTTGAAGAGTTTTGGAGCCTCGTGCAAGCGCCCATTTTCCATACCCCACCGCTTCTGACTCAAGTACGGCTGCCAATTCAATGCTCAAAATAAAGCCACATCAACAGTGAAGCTTTCATGGGAGAAAGAACCAGGCAAAAAATCTCCCCCACCCCCCAACAATTCCAATGAAAGGCAAAACCACCTGGTTGGATTTTTCTCGTCATAGAGTTTTCCCTCTCTGCTACGCCAACGAAGTCGCGCAAATGATTGGGAACTTCGGTTCCCACGAAAAGAAGAGAACATAGCTGGAGGGCATAATGGCCAATTCACTGTCCATAAGTCAACTCAAGGAAGCAGATCATCACTTAAGTGGGAGCAAAAACATAATTTCACTATTCTTAATGAACAGATTAGGAACAGTGAGTTTGGATTCAGTTTTATGGAAAAAGTATCATATAAGCACATTCACTCGTATTGTATGTGAGAAAAACAAACTTTATTAATATAGATAGTTGAATTCTGAGAGACAGTCACTTGTAAAATTTCAAGCATCAAGAAATGGTGAAATTACTGTCTTTAGAACATTACATCAAATCTGCTAGTCTCTATCTCGAATCCAAGTCAATTTTATTTATTTATTGTTTATTGTATTTCAATTTAGAGTTTATTGTAAATTTAATTTCGCTGGAGTTGTTTTTCCAACATCGCCCGCCCACCAAACAAGGCCTGAAAGGATGGAATAAGGACGCTGGCTGCGAAGGCACAAACAAGCACTTGTCGTTGTTGGCTCTGATTTGAAATCTTTTGAAACTTTCTTTGTTTCAAAAAATCCTGGATGAAGCTCTCTATCAACAACATTGAGGCACAGTGTTCATGGACCCTAGGCCTGCAAGAGTTGACATGAATCACGGTGGTTCGTTTAATTTAAAGCGACTTTTTTGTCACACGTATTAATACGGACCCCTATGATCTTGACCTTTTATAAACATTTTCTTTGCCTTATTATAATGAATAGACGCCGGTCTACTATATTACTGTATAGTTATTCATATGAAAAATGTATATTGACCTTATTATAAGTATACTTATAAATTGTCAAGATTGTTGTTTAGTTTTTTGTCAATCTTGTACGGCACGTACTAGCAGCCTAGGACATTCAACAAATAGATATTATAAGAAAAGTTCCAGCTGCTTCGAGGAAATGAAGAAGGAAAATACTGACGAGGTTCAAACTTCTGTTATGGCCAAAATAATATGATAAACGCTTGCCTAAAGTGGCCTTATCTTATCTTACGTGATATTATAATTAAGGAAAAGTAATGCTTCTAGAATAAGTTCATATCAATTCACTCCTGTGCATAATCACTGTCCACAGCCATTTCTTATAATGTTCATGACGACTCTAGATTCTTGATGTGCTTATAACTTGAAAAGGGAAAAACAAGGATGAGAGGATTTACTTTCTCCATGTCAACAATATGAAATGATTGCAATCCTTTGTTAGCATCAACATGACTAGTAAAATGAACTAGTTTCATGTTAGATGTTTGGTACTATTAATAAACGAGGAACTAGACTTATTGTATTGGACAATAGTCCCACGAATAAGAGAAAACAAGTTTCATTATGAACTCTATGGAACATGATTGAACATAGTCTTGATCCAATCTTGATTCGCTCACGTTCCAATGACCGACGTAGTCTCGATCCAATCTTGATTTGCTCACCAGACGAGGCCTGAAAAGATGGAAGAAGGATCATGAATTGGTATTGTTAAAGCAAATCAACAAATTTATATATACTAAAACTCAATTCAACTAGACATTGTTCCTGAGCACAATGAAATGATGCAATTGCCCCCGTTTTACTGTTACTCAGCCTTTTTTTTCCCCCAGAGACTCGCCGTTAAGTTTGAACCATGGTTGAGCTGGTTAGGGGGCAGTGATGGGATAAGCTGCTTGGATGTTTGGGATTCGTTTAGGGCAGTCGATTCCTATTTGGGGCGGTGCGCTGCGAATCTCACCCTTCTTTTGGTCTTCATCTCATCGATTTGTTTGTTGGTTGAGAGATTTTTAATGATTTCTAGAGCATTAGTCTGATGGATCTTCCATCTTTGTTGGCTGCGAGTTCTTGCATTGTTTGTCTTCAGGTTTGCATCCCATCAACTTTTTAAGAAATTAATGACTTGTTGATGGGTTGCTGAGCAAACTGTTGAATCCTTTAATTCCTTACTCAAATTGGTTCCTCGAACGAGTGAGTGATAGGTTTAGAAGAGAAGTCTTTAAGAACAAAGGTTGTTGGCATATGAGAGTTTATTTTCTCTTGCTAAGCAAACTGTTTTATTCTTTGTTTTAGAAACACTTGCTTTCATCCCCACAAAAAAAAAAAAAAAATCATTTCATCAACTGTTGTTGGGGGTTACTCTAAATTGTGTAATGATCTATTTTTGTTAATATTTATTTTTTAAAATTATTTTTTGTTTTTATGTTTTTGTACTAATTTGTGTAATATATATTCATTTGATGATTTCATATAAGAGATGTTAAAAACTGTGTTAATAGCTATTTGATGTGGTATGTTGCCAAAATATGAATATAAATGAACATGTATGAGATAGAGAGAAAGAGAGACTAACTTAATGACGTTGATGACTACTGGAGAGAGAAAAACAAAGGAGATTAGTATCTGTATAAAGTTTTTTTTTTTCACTAAAATTATGATTTGGATATGTGGTAAGATTGATTTTTGATTGAATTGATGAACTGAGTATGTGTTATATTAAAGATTTTACTATGGTTATGAACCAGATGTATTCAAGATTTAGTTTTAAAAAAAAAAAGCAATTTTATGAACTTCGCATGTGCTATACCTTTTTTTTTTTAAAAACTAAATTTCTGTAATATGCATTGTCTTTAATTCTTATATACTATCATGTCTGAATGTTAAATAACTTACTCTGTTTCATATATTGGGATTGTCCATTTTATCATATAGTTGTGAGCCATGTCAAATTTAAGTTTATCCGTTTTCAATTTCTAAAGACAAAAGTTATGATGCATGGTAAATTTGTAGTTCAACTGTTTCGTTTCTGTTTTTGAGTTTTTAGAAGTTATTGTTTAGACTGTTGTTTATGGAAAGTTTGATGATTTGCAGCATCAGTGATTATAGACAATTAAAGCACAGTGATTACCATCCATAGTTTTGTCTGTAGTTTTTCCTTTTGTATTTCCTAGAAATTGATTTTAGTCAGAAATCTTGATTCCATTTAAAAAGGTTTGTTCTAGAAAATACAAAATCCAAATACTATGAAGTGTGCACAAGAGAAGATCCTCTTTTTTATTTTCCAAAATATAAATAGTCTATTGTATTATTCTGATCTTTCATATCCCCGACTTATCTTTTATAGTTAATCTTCCCTTTGGGTTTTGCAGGCATGAGTCATTGGG